ATATTATTTGATGCCATTGAAAATAAGCTTAGCTTCAGTAATTTACCTAAACATTACCCTCATAGTTTTGTAAAAAATGTTAATATACAATGATCGGTCAAATACTAAATATAATGTAAACAACGTATTTTTATATTACTATAGATGGTTAAAAAATATGCAGACATTAACAATTTATGATTTGATATATTACTGATATTAAACAAGTTAGTTTATGATCTGTTTGACCTAATTCAGTTTCTGTAATTGATATAGGTAAACCACAACTACACGTCAAATACTAGTCTAATTATTAATTATACTTTTACTCAAACTTTCAAAATTAAGAAAATATTTCTGTTTACAAAAAAAGAATAATAGATTTACCAGTTTTTGACCAGACGGTCATTAACTAAAACGTTGACAAATTTGTATGCATCAGTAAAAATTGACCTAATATTTTTTTATAAAAACTGTTGGAATGTCAGAAAAATATAATTTTAAACTGATAATTTACTTAATAGCAATTACATTTCTTTAAAGGCAATTGTATATGTATTAGAACCACTTCTAAAAGGTACTGTCATTGCATTAAACTTACACCCCACTCGCTGTGACTTACTATGGGAAATCAAATTTTTGTGACTATTTCGTACAATTATAAATCATTGTAGATTCAATAATTTCAACAACTGAAGTACTAGGCATCGTTATGCGTCGAGGATAATTTACAATTTAAATTGGTTTTCTTATTTTCCGATTTTAAAGTGGTACTCGGTCAAACACTGAAGCATAGACAATGACTAGATATTTTGAAGGTTAGCACCGCCAAATGCGAATTTTTACAAAACGAGTTGGTATTCGTTTGTTCACGATTGTCCAATAAAAATGATCGTTTGTCCACCGTTCAAAAAAAAAGTTATGACAAAATTAAAAATTTGAGCCAAATTTAACATCAGCACCGCCATGAAAACGTTTTATTAATTTTAAAGTGGCAATTCATTGTCCATGATTTGTTCACGTTTGTCCACCCTTTAAAATAGATATTTAAAACAATTATAATTCACCTGGTCCAAGCCTTATTTTCATTTTTCCGCCCAAAATAAATTAGTTATTAAAGAACTCAAATATGAACAATGACTATCAATATAAGTAGTACTACTACTACTGCAATCGTTTGTCCAGGACTTATTTTCGTTTGTCCACTCTACGGAAATTAGTTACATATTAACAAATAAAGGACTCAAAATATAAACAATTAATAATATAAGTACTTCTAAAAATAATGTATTAAAATCAACTACTACAACAGTTTGTCCCCTTATTATTTTTGTTTTTCATGCCTTATTGTCGTTTGTCCACCCAACGGATATTAGTTATTAACAAATAAAGGATTCAAAATATGAACAATTAATAATGTAAGTACTTTTAATAATAATGTATTAAAACGAACAACTGCAACATTTTGTCCACACATTATTTTCGTTTGGCTAGGCCTTATTTTCGTTTGTACACCCAGCGTAAATTGGTTATGAACAAATAAAGAACTCAAAATATGAACATTAGTAATACAAGTACTTCTAATAAAAATTTATTAAAACCAACTACTGCAAAATTTTATCCACACATTCATTTCTTTTGTCCACCTATCGAAAATTAGATATTGACAAATAATGGACTCAAATATGAACAATTAATAATATAAGTACTTCTAAAAATAATGTATTAAAATGAACTACTGCAACAGTTTGTCCCCTTATTATTTTTGTTTTTTCAGGCCTTATTGTCGTTTGCCCACCCAACGGATATTAGTTATTAACAAATAAAGGATTCAAAATATGAACAATTAATAATATAAGTACTTTTAATAATAATGTATTAAAACGAAGAACTGCAACAGTTTGTCCACACATTATTTTCGTTTGTCTAGGCCTTATTTTCGTTTGTACACCCAGCGTAAATTAGTTATGAACAAATATGGAACTCAAAATATGAATATTATTAATACAAGTACTTCTAATAAAAAATTATTAAAACCAACTACTGCAATATTTTATCCACACATTCATTTCTTTTGTCCACCTATCGAAAATTAGATATTGACAAATAATGGACTCAAAGTATGAACAATTAATAATATAAGTACGTCTAAAAATAATGTATTAAAATGAACTACTGCAACAGTTTGTCCCCTTATTATTTTTGTTTTTTCAGGCCTTATTGTCGTTTGTCCACCCAACGGATATTAGTTATTAACAAATAAAGGATTCAAAATATGAACAATTAATAATATAAGTACTTTTAATAATAATGTATTAAAACGAAGAACTGCAACAGTTTGTCCACACATTATTTTCGTTTGTCTAGGCCTTATTTTCGTTTGTACACCCAGCGTAAATTAGTTATGAACAAATATGGAACTCAAAATATGAATATTATTAATACAAGTACTTCTAATAAAAAATTATTAAAACCAACTACTGCAATATTTTATCCACACATTCATTTCTTTTGTCCACCTATCGAAAATTAGATATTGACAAATAATGGACTCAAAGTATGAACAATTAATAATATAAGTACGTCTAAAAATAATGTATTAAAATGAACTACTGCAACAGTTTGTCCCCTTATTATTTTTGTTTTTTCAGGCCTTATTGTCGTTTGTCCACCCAACGGATATTAGTTATTAACAAATAAAGGATTCAAAATATGAACAATTAATAATGTAAGTACTTTTAATAATAATGTATTAAAACGAACAACTGCAACAGTTTGTCCACACATTATTTTCGTTTGGCTAGGCCTTATTTTCGTTTGTACACCCAGCGTAAATTGGTTATGAACAAATAAAGAACTCAAAATATGAACATTATTAATACAAGTACTTCTAATAAAAATTTAATAAAACCAACTACTGCAATATTTTATCCACACATTCATTTCTTTTGTCCACCTATCGAAAATTAGATATTGACAAATAATGGACTCAAAATATGAACAATTAATAATATTATAAGTACTTCTAAAAATAATGTATTAAAATGAACTACTGCAACAGTTTGTCCCCTTATTATTTTTGTTTTTTCAGGCCTTATTGTCGTTTGCCCACCCAACGGATATTAGTTATTAACAAATAAAGGATTCAAAATATGAACAATTAATAATATAAGTACTTTTAATAATAATGTATTAAAACGAAGAACTGCAACAGTTTGTCCACACATTATTTTCGTTTGTCTAGGCCTTATTTTCGTTTGTACACCCAGCGTAAATTGGTTATGAACAAATAAAGAACTCAAAATATGAACATTATCAATACAAGTACTTGTAATGGAAATTTATTAAAACCAACTACTGCAATCGTTTGTCCACACATTATTTTCGTTTGCCCAGACCTTATTTTAGTTTTTCTACCCAATGGAAATTAGTTATTACGTTATTAACAAATAAAGAACTCAGAATATGAACAATTTAAGTTATCCTAAAGTCAATTCATTAAAACTAACTAGGTACTGCAATCGTTTGTACACACATTATTTTCGTTTGTCCAGGCCTTATTTTGGTTTGTCCGGCCTTATTTTTGTTTGTCCAGGCTTTATTTTCGTTTGTCCACCCAACGGAAATTAGTTACTAACAAATAAAGAACTCAAAATGTGAACAATTATTAATGTACATTTTTCTAATTAAGATTATTACTAAATTGCTATTAGAAGTATGTACTTAAATTAATAAATATTCATCTTTCGAGGTTTTTATTTGTTAATAACCGATTTTCGTTGGATGGACAACCGAAAATAAGGTATGGTCAAACGAAAATAATGTGTGGACAAACGATTTCAGTAGTTAGTATAAAAAAATGGTTTTAGAAGTATTTACATTAATAATTGTTCATATTTTGAGTTCTTTATTTGTTAATTACTAATTTGTTGGGTGGACAAACGACAATAATGCGTGGACAAACGGTTGCCGTATTTATTAATTCAAATAAAATGTATTAAGGTTGTCGAGAAGGTTGTCCTTAAGGATCAGGCAAATAATTTTTTTTATTTTTTAAATATCTAGGTCTTAAAGAATAAACAAATGAAAATTTTGGTTGGATAAACGTGGACGAATCGTGGACAAATGGAATACCACTTTGAAATTAATAAAAAAATTTAGGCAGTGCTGATGTTAAATTTCGGAAAAAATTTTAATTTTGTCATTACTTTTTTTGAAAGGTAGACAAACGAAAATGTTTGTTGGACAAAAGTGGACAAATCTCGGATAAACAAATGACAACTTCATTTAAAAAAATTCGCAAGTCGCGGTGCTAACTTCACAGACCTAGCCTTTACCTTAGTAAGTTGTTGCAAATTAGTATAAATATTATGCAAGCTCTTTTTCGGTGATATAGATAGGTATAAAGTACTGACTGCAAATTAGCATAAATATTATACTTGTTGGCAAACCACTAAAAAAACTGCTTAATAGTGAAATAATTAAACAGGATAATCTAAATATTTAAACATATCATATACCTTTATATATTTGAACAATAAGGCACTTAAGACTATGGCGAAGAAGAAAAGCAAGTGGCCAGCTGTTCGTGGGGCACAAAGAACAAGAATAAAGGAACAACTTGTTTTCGGAAGAATGTTAACATTATAAAAATTTTTACCTGCAAGTAAAAATGACATTGTTCTAAAAACACGTATTTTCAACGTTCAGATTACCTAGTTTAACACGAATTTAATAAAACTAGCTTTGTAGATAACGAATATGTTTGATAAAATAAAAGGCGTGAAAATGGGATATTTGATACATACAACGAAATAACATTACGAATCGTAAACAAAGTGCCATTGAGTAAAATTAACGAAATATGTCCACACTTAAATGGGCTTAGCCTTGACAACTTGTTGCGCACATTGCCTAAAACCATCTTATGGGTAAATAAAGTTCTAATATACCTACCCACTACCTGCGTCTCAATAATTAGTACTTACAAATCGCCGATAAGATATCATTGATAAACTCACCTAATTCACCAAATTTATACGAAATATAACTAGCAAGGTACACTCAAATCACTTTGGTTTGTTAACCAAATAATGGGTAAGAAATTTACCTGTACCACTTTACACACACAGGTAATGGTAATACCCCCCTACTTTTGTGACGTTCTCTTTACTAAATTGCTCACGAGAGGCAGCACTGTTGGTCGGCAACGTTTAATACACATTTGATGAACTGTTTGACCTTTTACGGAGGTTCGCTAATAGTTGGGTACCGCCTCTACCGGCTTGGCTCGACAAACTGATACTTGTTGAATGGTAGGTAGAAAACAGTAAATTGTATTTCTGGGATGACTGGATTTGGGTAGAAAATTAATCTAACCAGGTCTCATTTTCGGCATTTATTTTAAATAAGTACCTTTCCTTTTTCACTGTCTGTGGCGAGTGGCGACTATGATTTCCATATTTAAAAATACAATTTTCTGGCATAAAATTCCGGACATTTCTTTAAAAATCCGGACAAATAATTAAAACTAATTTATGAAATAATTACTAAAGGTTTTATTAAAAAAGTATACATATTGTCAAAAAAAATAAAAACAGATATTTATCGCACGATTCGGAAATTATGTCGATGACATTCCTGAAAATGTATAATTCCCAGCGCATTCCAGAAAGAACGCCTAATTTCCGGACACGTCCGAACATTTCCTGACCTCTGGTAACTACCCAGACAACACACCAAATCCCAGAGATATCCGCAGAATATCTTTTGTGGATATCCAATATATCCACAGGATATCGGAAATATTCCGTGGATCTAATATGGATATCCAAATGTCCGTCTATATCCAGGATATAGAAGATATCCTAATGGATATTCAACAAAATATCTAATGGGTATCTTCCAGAAAATACAAGAATCACAGAGATATATCCACAGAATATATTTTGTGGATATTCAATATATCAACACTAATCCCCCAGATAGCACAGGACGTCCCATGAACGTCCTGATTTGGTCCGTTGTTGGTCCGGTTGGTCCCGGACCTAAATAGGACGTCCACTGGACTTCCGATTACAGTGAACACTAGGACGTCCTTGGAAGGACGTCCCCTGGACGTCCTATTTTGGTCCCGTTCCGACAAAGCGTTTCGTTTTCGGTCCGAGTCCGGGACCTTAATGGGACGTCCAAGGGACGTCTATGGAACTTTCTATGTACTAGCATCGTTGGTCTTTGAATCGATAACTTGAAATTTAACGTTTTGTTTTTGCAAGAGTATGAGAACAGAAAACCTAACCTATCATTTATTTTTAAATGAACAACAACAGCTACAATTTTCGGCACTCAATAATTAACTTATATAAGTGAGTTAGATTAACGAAGAAAAAAGAAGGTTATATTGTGTTATTTGTTATTTTTTTGATGTTGGTGGTAAAGTGGTTATAAAGTGCAGTGAGTGTTTTGTGTTGAGATGACAATAAGTGATGTGTATTGGCGGTAGCCGCTGGCGGAAAGAAAATACCTTAATGGCGGAAAGTTGGAACAAAACTAATTTTGACAAAATTATAATACTCAGTTATGTCGACACAAGCTATAAGTAGGACCCAAGGTTTCATCTTGCCAACGCTGTGTGTTAAATTTATTTCATTCCTGTTTTTTTTTTTTTTTTTTGTAAACTGAAAACGTTTAACTCTAGCTAGTTTTTTTAGGATAAAAGTTGTTAAATAAAGCTCTTTTATTGTTAACATTTTTGTTATTATTACCCTTTATGGATTATGGTCAAATATCGTCCCTCGGACGTCTGATTTACGTCCCTAGGACGTCCCGCAAAGGTCCCTATGATGTCCTTTTGGGATGTCCCTGAGATGTCCCTAAGATGGACGGAAACGGGACATTAGGACGTCCATGGGACGTCCGATTGACGTCCCGGTACCAAAATAGGACGTCCTTCGGACGTCCTTTATGTCCCTGAAGGACGTCTTTTAGACCTCCATAAGACGTCCGTGTGCTATGTGGGCCCCTCTGTAGTGCGCATGTCATCTGATTTTTATGACCTATCCTAAAAAACAAATGCTTTCTGACATTCTGACGGGTTTAATTTTCTGCATTTGAATTGGAACTCCAGTTTTTATATTTTTACTTATGACGAGCTTGTTTAGTTAGTTAATAATGGACACAGAAAAAGAAAAACAGTAAGATCGTATTATTAACATTAACAACAATAACTAAGCATTTTTTAGTGTTGTCCCCGATACGCGAGTACCAAATGTCCGTCTATATCCCAGGATATAGAAGATATTCGGATATTCAACAAAATATTTTATGGGTATCTTTAGTAGAGGTTCATAAGTAACCAATGATTATTGAACAACGTCGAAAGAAAATAGCAGAGATAAAAAATATTTTCAACACTCAAAATATTTTCAACACTCTGCCTTTGATTTTGCCCACTAAGGAGAAAGTCATCCTTATTAGGACTCTTCAGCAATAAATGAAAATTCTCGACTCCAGTCTCTAATGGAGTGAATAGGACACACATTTCGATCGAACTCAATTACGGCGGGTCGAGCATGAGTAGATGCGATAGTGGTATCGCCATCTATACTTATCAGAATCAAATAACATCTAGTGGATATCCACGATGGTTTGCGTTCGCGCCTAGACTTTGATATATTTAGTGGATGTTCATGGGATATTGAATACACCTTAAAAAAATTAATTTTAAATATCTGAACGGTACTATTAGCCACAATGGCGAGCACAATGGCGTAATTTTTAATAAGTTGCTATATAATTACTATTATTTATGGACATTTGCATGTCTATAAATTACATTTCATGGATATAAAATGGATATCTACCATGGACTGGACATTCAGTGGATCTTGGGATGTTCAGTAGATATCTAAAGGATTTGGTGTGCTGTCTGGGTATAGAGACGATTTAAAATCCAGGTGTTCTACCTAGATATTTCTGGTAATTAAAAGATATATTTAGTCAAGTTACTGCCTATTTAAGGTAAATTTCTAGTTACTAAACTAATATTTCCAAACTAGGTATATTCGAAAAGTTTTGTATAGATTCCAAATTAGGATCTACCTACATATAACTTTAAATTATTTTTATTTGGTTTGGACACCCGGTATACGTTATATACAGTACACTGAGTATAATTCTTTTTATATATTGTGGTACCTAATTATCAAGATGACTAGAGGTAAGTTAAATCAATTTAAATCGGAAGAGGAAATACCTAGTTGAGGTTAATACTCAAAAATATAAATTATACAAATTATCCACATTTTTTATTTTTAGAACTGCTATTTAATTAATTTGTTCTTTATTATTAACCATTAAACCTATTAATAAAGTTATTAGTCAAGGATGAATAAAAAGGTCAACTATTGTGAAAAGATGATATTATATCTAAAACGAGTCTGTTATACAGGGTTAATCCTAAGTTGATAATTTTTTTTGCGTAGAGAAGTCGTTAAAATAAACTTTTTCAAAACACTTTTTGAAAAAAATTCAAAAATAGGCTTACAGAATTAAAAAAATTAAATCCAGCTCTGGAATTGTTTGTTAAAATGTAGGTAAATAATAAGTCTGTTCATATTTTTTACTTTTTTTTTAGTAATAAATCACGATGGCATTGTCTTTCCTATTATAACTCAGTCGTGATTACATAGTACAGTACCAAGTGAATTAAATTTGTTCAATACGGTAAATTATGATAACAATAAACTTTGTTGATATGTTACTTATTTATGACGATTGTCTTCAAAGTGCAGCTGCTTTATCGGTATTGTATAATGAACGCTTTCCTTTGAAAAGTGCGGACAACATTGCGGAAAATTTATTGTATTCCTTTCACGTTTAACGTGTTCAAGCACTACAACTTGAAAATTTCCTACACAATGTTTCTTACAACGGCATAAATGAAATTTTCAACTTAAGTTTAAACTACGAACAGGACTTTATTGAATACATTTTGGACTAAATTAATGTAAGTTTCTTTCATTAAGTTTTTTTGAAAAGTATCAACGTTAGATTCACCCTGTAGATTATATAATTTTGAATAAATTTTAGGTAGATTTTATAATCTGCTTTCTTTTATTCGTAATGAAATATTGGAAAATAGGTAGATATATTAATTCGTGGTCTTTAAAAACTTTCCATCATTTACTTTAAAATGGTACAATTTTGCTGCAGACGGGGACATAATAGTAGCGGCCAGTACTTGGCACTAGAAGTGACAGCCAATAGGCCTACACACGATAACAGTAATTACTTGCAATAAAAAAATATTTTAGTGGCAATATTGACGTGTGAGAACGGAGAAGCTGATGAAGTGAACGAGAAAGCTGTTGATGAGGATGTAAATGACATTATTGCTTGCGAACAACTTCAAGAATATTAAACCAAAATATGGCGTGCTGGAGGTGTCATAGAGATAACCTGGGAGCTTGGTCTACAATAATTCTAGAACTTGCCGAGAAGGATCCTGTGGAATACAAGGGAATTATGAGAATGAGTGAGGGGCAATTTAACGAGCTGTTTAATTTAACTGAACACAAAATATCAAAAAGAGATACGAAAGTCAGAAACAGTATCTGCCAATCCAAAATAAATAAATAAAAAACATACAAAAGTAGTACCTTCTTCCCTCAATTGTCTAGCACTCTACTGGCATCCATATTGTTGAAAAGGGAGGCCAAGATGGTCTCCTATAGACTCTCTCGATGGGTCAAGACGGGGCTGATGAGTGAGATTAATGAAATGGTGGCCATTTGCGACCAATCTTGTCATGTTCTAATCCTTTAAGTCCCTCTGTGCCTTTTTTGGGCTTTTAAGGCCCCACTTGTCCGATTACCAAAGAATATTTAAAGAAATAAGTCAAACCCCCTCGGTGATACACCTATGGCTAGTCGTATAGTGAATAGAATACAAGAGAAAGATGATTAATTTGGTAAATGCATAATATAAGAAATGGCGGAGGTGCTTCTAGACACACCATTATAAATACTGGAGCCGCGGCAAACCTTCTAGAATTTATGGCGAATGCGCCATAGGAATGTTAGCGCTGTCGCCAGAATTTTCAATTGAACGTTACCAGTGGTCACTTATGTATATCAATAGACTGCATGCAGGCGGAGCAAGTTAATGCGTTGAAGCAGAGATATTGTTAAAAATTGACATTAATGAGCATTTAGTGTAAATAAATTATAAATAAAGATAAAGTGAGTTAAACAAATAAACGTTACATTAATAACCACGACATCCTTGGCATGGTTTTAGACTCGCTCTTTCAGACA